GCCGCCTCGCCGCCCGCTTTCGGGTGCTCGGCAGAGCCGCGGCAGCTGCAGCAGTGAAGGGGTGTTCGGAGGAATTGCTTGTGAAGCCCTCTGAGTTAGTGTTCCTCTCCTGAGGAAGCTCGGCAGTGCCCGGCAGTGACAGTTGTAAGGCGGCAAGTAGCTGCTCGCCTTCGGCGTGGAGGTCTGACCCGTCCCTCAGTCCCGCGGGCTCTTGTCCGCGCTCGGAGCGAGTGTCCGGCCCGGCCGCGGCACTCAGGTGGGCACCTTTCCTCTGCTTCGCTTTGGCTTTACGTTTGTCCGTGGGGCAGTGCGGAGGTGCGCAGCCCGGCTCTGGGGTGGGAGCGCGGGCATTCCCACCCGCTGCGTTCCCACGCCCGTGCGATTTCTGCTGGGGCTGGCGAGACCCCGGGACCGCTGGCGAGCGGAGCTGCTGCTGCACTGCGCGGGGAGCAACGAGCAGCCCAACCGAGCATGAAGTTAATGTGGAAGCGTTAGTCATCTTGGCCCAAGAGAAAGTAATGATTTTAATCATTTTGTGACTGTGCAGTGTGAAACAGGAAAAGATGTATCATTACCATAGCCTGGGTGCACTTTATAAAGATACAAATCCTTGTAATTATTACTCAGAGTAGCTTAACTTCAAGGAATACCTGCACCCCTTCCTCAGGGCTTTTATGTATTGACGTGTTGTCAAAAATAAATTAAGCTGCAGGCTCCTATACAAGAAAGTTTCCTTGAGCAGCTGACCTTGGCCGACACCACTAAGTTCACTGTGATGTAGAAGCATCAGTATGTGAACCTGACTTGTCGCTATTACATCTGAAGGTGTATTTTTTTCTCTGCAGAGTAAGTTTTGGGGCTTGAAAAGAAGTGCTGGTGTGGCTTTGTTTCAGACTGAAGGCTCAATCTGTTCCCTTCGGAGGCACCGATAGGGATCGCAAACATTTGCTGCTTCATTTGTTTTATCCTTGGATATTGTTCCAGTTCTCTGAGATGAGAAATCAATAATTTAGGTTTTTTGATAGTTTGCACTGGGGGTTTTTTGCCTTTTGAGAAATGCAGACTCTTTGCGGGGAATGGTGGGATGTACCTGAGCCACGGCAGCAGCGGGGTGGGTTGCAGTTGAGACTGTAAAATACCTTGGAGAGAGAGCACCCAGTGTGCTGCCTCTGGTCTGCTCTGTGTGCCTCTTGCGGGTGCTGGGGGAGGCTGTGGGGCTGCAGGTGACCCTGCAGCCCCAGCTGCCGTGGGGAGGATGGATGCCATCGCAGACAGCCACGCGTCGCCTCGGCAGCTGCTGCAGTTTGATCCACAGTTGGATTCCCGGGGTTGTCACGTTGGGGATGAAGTTTGCATCGCTGCAGCCTGGCTCAGGAAGACATCCAAATACAGGGGTTGCTTTTAAACCTCAGGCAGGCTTTGGCACTTGCTTTAAGCTGATTGTCCTGACCCAGGATGTGAGGTTAGAGCTGGGCTCCTGGCTGAGGGGTGGAGGTGAAGGTACCTGGGGAGGAGGAGCTGAGTGTGCTGCTGCGGGGAACCCACAGCATCCCGTGGCCATCCCAGTTCCCAAGACTGTCCCAGTAATTCTGTTTTCACCAACATTTTTTTTTTTTTATGATTCCTCCCTTTTGTGCTTCAGTAACATGATTTTGTTACTTTAAAGTAAAAAAGGGAAGCTGCTCAGTAGCTGTATTTCCAGAGCATAGATCTGAGAAAAATGAGTAAGGCTGCATCGCATCCTGAAACGTTCAGTGAAAATACAAACACCCTGGAGAACACTCCAGGCTGCACAAAATCCAGATGATGCTGCACTGTTACTCCCTCATTTTATTTTTTCAGGGTTTTGTACTTCCAACAAGAAATAAATGTGTGTTTCACAGGGATGTCAGTACCAGAATGAGCATATAAAGGTGCCTTGCATGTAAACACTTTAAAAATAAAACTGCGGCTGCACCCATATGAGATCACGCAAGCTGTCTTGAGTGCCAGTAAACTATACAGAATCAAATGCTCCAGTATACACAGAAACGTCGGGGGGAGAGTTGGAAAATTACAACCTGTGTTGTCTGCTCATGAGCAGACCTGTCCTTCCGCAGCGTGAGAGGAAGACCAGCCACTGCAGCCAGCACTGAACCATAAATGAGAGGATTTTCGGTTTTTGTTCATAGTTCATATCCAAAAAGTTTTTGGAGAAACTGAATGGTTGCTACACCTTGATTTTCCATGAAATCTTTTAATTAAAAAAAAAAAAAAGTATGATTTTGTGCCAAATGAAAGACTTCTGTAACAACTTAAGGTTAACACTTTGAATTTCTTCTTATATAGCTTTTACACTTCCACGTGACCTTAGTAGTCAAAAGTGCATCTCTGATTTTATCTAGCCAATTCACTATATCAATTTATTTTGGATATTGACCTCACTACAATTAGTGATGCATCTCTAAATCGGTCGTAACATCACTGAAGCTACAAAATACAGTATATTGGATGATACAGCAAACGTGAGCCAGATCCTCAGATCTTTTGGTCTGTTGGTCTGTCTCTGCACTTCCCTTTGGGGGCAGTGGTCCTGGTTTAGGTTACAAGGTTATGAAGTTACTGGGTTTCTCTAGTGAACTCCATTGTAATGTGCTTTTTCTCTGATACTCAGTCTTATCCCCAGAGCAGTGAACTGCCAGTGAGAAATTTGCAAGCTGCAAAATGCTGCTTAATCTGGAATGATGATGCATTTTTGCCTCCTGCCGTCCCCAGGATGCACCAGCAGAACGTGGCCCGGGGCTGCTGGCAGTGACCTGCAGGTAACTCCGTCCTGGAGGCACCGGCTTCGCAGGTGGTAACCCAGCTGAAGTGGAGAGAGCGGAGCCAGGGCTGAACACACCATGGGCGCAAACACCTCCAGCAAGTCACCCCCCTTCAATGAAAACGAAGATGGTAAGAGCTTTTCCTAGTTGATGTTTGGGACTGCAGAGTCCACCAGTGCAGAGTATGAGGCTGAGAGTCACCACCAGCTCCCTTCTGGGGCTGCAAACACCCACACATCTCGGTTAAGCAAAGGTCAGTACCAGTGTTGGGGTCTGCAGCAGCAGTGTGTCCGTGGTCCCCTGCAGAGCTGTGGTCAGGTGTCTCGGTCCTTTCACGTCCCCTCTCTGTGGCCGGGCACTGGCAGAGGTTTGGTGTGGAGATGTCTCTGGGACACCGCCAGGCGCTGCAGAGGCGGGGGGTGGGGGGGAAATGCTGCTGTTGTGGAGGCAGCGGAGGTTTGTTCTGGAGACCACAGCACAAGGAGGACTGGCATGAAGTGTGGTGGGACAACAGCTTGAGCAGTGCCTGTTCCCATCCTTGCCTTGGGCTTGGCAGGAGGGCGACGGAGAGAGACCTGGCCGGCCGTGGCAGAGGTGGAGACTGGTGGTGACTGCCCGGCAGGGCAGCTCTGCCCATTGGCACTGGGAGACCAGCACACTGGCTTGGTCAGCTGGAAAAGGAGAATACATTGCTGAGAGCAGTACTGGAGGCCAGTGTCACTCTGCTGCCAAGATAGTAGAGACAGTCATTAAAAGATTGCTCCATAAATATATTTCCTGTTGCATGAGTCAGCTTGGTAGCTGCCACATGGGCTTTCACCTGGGTACAATCATAAAACGCACATCTAGATAAACACAGATAGGTACAAATAAAAGTAAAATATACGAGAACCTAGATCACTCATAAACTGCTGTTCTGAAGGTAAGAACTCCAACCAGAGAGGATGTAATCCCGATTACTGAGAACGTAATGGGAAAAGGAGGAGATGTTGGCCAAAACCTGGTCGTTCTCACTCAGCTCCTTGGGGAAAGAGGTCTCGAGGAGGAACAGGTGGTTATATCCCGTGTAGCTCCTTAGTGCTCACGGCAGACAGCAGACAGCCTCCTGCCCCAGGCTGTCGCTGTCCCCTCTGCGCAGCGGCTGATGCGGGCGGCTGTTGGGGAGGGAAGAGTCACCCGGCGCAGCGGCGTGTTCCCCCCGCTGTCCCCAACCACCCCACAGTGATCCAGCCCTTCCCTGTGCACCTCAGTTTGTCATTCTGCGGAGAAGATTTCCCAACTTGGGGTCTGCTCTTGTTGGTGTCACCCCGGGGCGCAGCCAGTGAATCGCCCTGCGCTGCTGTGCCCGCAGTGCCTGTGGCGTGTCTGGGGCTGTTGGGCTAAGTTGGCTGTGGTTCCCGAATGAATAATGCAACCGCTTGCCATTTTTCTTTGGGTTTTGTATTTTTTTCCAGTTATTTTAGTGCAAAGAAATCAGTGTTGTGAGGTTTTTCTGGAGATTTTATTCCTGGTGCATCTAAATGCTCATTATTGGCTTCTCTCATAAATAACTACTTGTGCTAGCTCAGGATGACTAATCCTTTTCACATTCCTGGTCACCTTCCTTGGGGTGATATGTCCTGGCTGTGAGATTGACTATAACAAATTGGGTTTTCATTGGGGTGGCTGGTCTCCCTGCTGAGCCTTTCTCTGGGTTCAACATGCTTTGTGCGGCATCGGCTCCTGTGGCTGACGAATAAATAATGCCCCGAGCGATGCGGTGACCTGTGTGGGGTGACCGTCCTTGGGCAGGAAATCTTCACGGATAGGTGATTTCTTACGAGAGCCAGTTCTGTGCTTGGAAAGGGGTTGGTTTCAGCACACACAGCCCGACAGCGTGTGAAGCCCCCGTTAGCTCTCTGGCAAAGGGCACTGGGCTTCCCAAGTGTGAAGTGTCATACCCCACGCCTGGTGCGTTTGTGTGTCGTGCTGGCAAGTCGAGGGAAAAGCCCAGTCCTGACCATCTCAAGGGCTTTGGTGTTGGTCTGCTGAGTTTCAGTAGGTTCCGGGGTCTCCCTTGCACCCAGATACCGTGTCCAGACCAGTGCTGTTGTGCTTTCATGGCCCTGCCCAGATTTAAAAAGCGGTAGCACATTTTTTTCTCTAATTAGTCATATTTTAACATACTGGGGGTAGAGGAGCCCAGCTGAAACGGGGATATCCCCTATTAACTTTTCCATTATCTTGGCAAATTTGTGACCAGAGACTGTATCACCTTAGATGTCACAATCTTGTCCTTATTCTAATGTGAATTAAAACTGAAATGGATTAAGAGCTGCTGGGTACAGCAGGAAGCAGCACGACAGCTCTGCTCGGTGATGCTGGCGGGTCACTTCACCGGGTGGTGGAGAGCGGTCCCACCTCTTTGGCCGTGGCGTAGGGAGACTTTTCCTTCGGGACCTGCGTAGATACAAACAGCGGCAGTGTGAGAAGTGTAAGTGCCGCAGTGCCAGGAAGGCACCTGATTCTTCACAGCCCGAATTCCACCTCTGGCAGTGCTGTGCTGCAGCTGCATCCGCTGGTGGGGCCGTGGACGCCAGACGCTGCTCATGGGGGAGAGGGAACATCCCGCCCCAGCGAGCGTTGCGCCGTTGCACCAGGAGCCGGGTCTGCTTCTCAGAGAACCGTGCTGTAATGTTCGGTGATTTCATTTCTCCAGACTACCTCTCAATTTGCTGAAAAATAAAATACCCCACAACTTGGAGGGTACTCAGGCAGTTGCAACACGGTGAAGCCTTTTGCAAAACAGGATAGTTAAGGAGCTGTCTTGAGGGTGAAAACATCTGGATTTATCTTGTGCCGTCGTTTGCTGCAGAGCCGTGGGCAGATTCCTTCACCTTCCTGTGCCTGTGCTCTTCAGCGGTGCGCTCCCTCCTCCTCCCACCGCTCAGCCGTTCGCTCCGTGGAGCGGCACCTCGTGCCGTGCAGAGACGGGCGGCACAGAGCAGGGCAGTCGGGCTCACGCCTCACGCGGGCTCCCCTCGTCCTTTGATACACACACAGAGTCGTAACGCCCCGTGCGTATTGTTCCAAATTGCTGTCGCTATAATTTCACTATTTTCTGTGGCACCATGATTTTTTATTTTTTTGAGATGGACTTCTTGAAGGGGCATTGTTTGCCATCAGCTGAAGTGGAATGACAGCATTGTTTTTCTCTCAGTGTTTCCTCTGAGTAGGCACAGTTGTAGATAATAAATTAGTGAGATGAAAAGAAAATGAAATAACCAGACAGAAGGTTCAGTGCTGCAAGGTGATCTCCCTCCTGTTGTAGTCAGGATGAGACCATGTTAAAAGCCGGATTTTGTTTGTGCTGCTTCTGGGCAAAAGGGTGTGGAAAGCATCCCTGGAGGATGGCAGCCCTATACTCTCCCCAGCTGGCCGCGCTGGTTGGAAGATAAAGCAGAAATAGATAATAGGTGAGGACAATGGCTGGCTGAGATGGGCATACATCGCGCTGTGGTCCTTTGCCAGTGTCCTCTCTAGTCCACCACTGGCTGTTCTGTCTTTAAACTGCCCCGGGGCTCAGAAGAGCGTGAGCCGTGTCTTTGTTCCTCTGCCTGGATCCGCGCCGAGCTCGGCTCCCCGGTCCGAGGGGATGCGTTAGCATCCTGACCCTGCTCTGGAGCTGGTTCTCCTGGGGCTGCAGGGCCCGGGAGGGAGGGAGGGAATAGATGAAAATGAGGGAAGTTACGGTGACAAAAGGAAGACGAGTGGTACCAGACCGTGCGGCCGTGCGGTGTTGAGATTGCTGTACTGGGGTGGGCGATGGTGATGGGGGGAGCTGAGCCCCCCGAAGCACTGACTGCCACTTGGCAGATGGAGCCTGGGGCTTTGGCAGGGTTGACTCGTCTCTGATGGGGACGTTTTTCATGGCTAGTTAGGTTCTGTATTTTTTATCTAAATATTGTTTCTTGAACCTGGGTTTAGAAATACAACCCTGGCTTTCAAAATGGCACTTCGTACTTATGCTTCAGTTGGTTCTTTACAGCAATTGTATTATCTTCCTTGGCATCTCTTAAACGTGATTTGTCTGAGTTGGCATATCACATGAATTTTCTCTCTGAAGGGCAAATGCTTTGGCTTTTTCATTGTTTTAGATGCCATCAGGCAGTGAAATGAGGCTTGTCAAATCTGTGGATGTGGATTCTGGATGAAAAGCATGTGTTTGGTTCCTGATTTGGATGCCACAAATTTCTGTACTCTCTGGAAGTGGGACTCTGGACTGGCTCACTGTGAAAATCGGGGATGATAGGAAACCTAAAACAGAGAAAGGTTAAAATGTGATTGTACCTCGTTTGAGAGTCTTAAGTAAAAAGTATGCAATTTAGCTTTCTTACAACCAGCTCAGTTATAGACTCATGTTTAAAATGTTAATGAAAATATTAATATTCAAAGACAAGGAGGTGGAGGGTGTTGACATGTTCATGAAAGCGTTCCTATTAAAAGACAATGGAGGTAGAGGGTGTTAACATGCAACATCTGGCTGCCGGCTTAACTGCTCTGGATTTGCAGCTGTCCCAGATGTTAATGTCTGGCTGGATCTCTGCGTTCCGTGGTGTGTCCCGCTCTGCCCGAGCCCGTGCGGGGTCCCAGCGCCTGCAGCCGGAGATTCCCCCTCCACGGTCATGGGCTGCACGGTGCAGCAAGGGGGTCCAGCAGCCCACCTCTCCCCGGCAGGCACCGGGCGCTCCTCTCCCCTCCCTTTTCCCCGCGGGTGATAAGCATCTTCACTCTCCCCTTTTATTCTGCGGGTACCCCCTGCCCTTCTCTCAGATGGTCTAACTGGTAAACACATGGAGTTCAGCGCAATCATGACCGACTTGTATTTAGCTCTGATGTTGGCAGCTGTTGTTCCAGGTTTGAAACGGGTCTTCTGTGCCTAAAAGCCCATCTTTTTTCCAAGTGCTATAGCTGGAAACCATGAACTTTGCTTTGGTTAGATTGTGGCATCCTACCTGGAATGATAATGGCCATGAAAAGGACAATTTCTTTAGTTTAGTGTGCCTGTTTTAAATAATGTATTCTATGGGTTACCCAGTGAATGTTACACTCCTGGCCAGGTACACAGTGGCTGTTTTCAGCCTTTTTTTTGGAGGAAGTTTGGGCAGGCTCAGTGGACCGTATGGCAGTTTGGCGACCCTCACGCATCATGTTTCTGCTGAATGAAACCCAGTCTGCCTGGTTAATTTGTTTGGAAAATACATGCATTGCATTAAAAAATAAATAAATCCATTAGCAGAGTATGAGAACAATTCCCTGTAGTTGTGTGGTGGCAAGGATGCAGTGTCTGACCGGTTATCCCTGTCGTAGCTTAGAGGCGCGATGTATCCCGAGGAAAATGGGTTTATTTCTGACCAGTATCGTGCACAAATCTGTAACGAGGAGGATTCATCTGCTGGTGTGGCAGAGTGATTAACAACAGATTCCTTGCTGGCAATCTCATCTGATGAAGAGCTCTGGGGACAAACGCCTCTCGGTTTCTGTGCCACAGTTCAGTTAATGAAGAAAGCAGCAGATGACAATTGTGTTGAGAGCTGCACTTTTCAAGACAACCCGTGGCCTTGGAAGGGGCAGAGAGGGGCAGCTCTGCCGCCTGAAGCACAAGTTGCTCACATGCCCGGGTGTCTGTGAGGACAAGACGTGGACCTGCCCGCGCCGGTTCTCTCCCCTGACGACCAGGCACGTGGGTCCAGCACGGGCTATAGCGCATGGCACTGCCGCAGCCCGCATACATCCAAGCTCTGCTATGGTGAAAGCCGCCTGGTTTGGGCAGGCCACAGAGACCATTCCCCCTGCTCTGCCCAAGCCCGGAGCCGGAGCGGTGGGCCATGGCAGAGCGAGGGGGCCGGGGGCTCGGCGTGCTCAGACCTGTCTGCTCGGGGATGGTGCCAACGTAATTGAAGTGCTTCGGGTCAGCCTGAGAGGGGAACACCCGTGGTACCCGATGGAGCTGCCAGGCAGGGCTTTCATGCAAGACATCCGTGTAGAGCCTGCGCCTCGGAAGATGCCACAGGCAGCCCGCAGCGAGCACCAGGTCAGCGCTGGTAGCAGAGCCCTGCCGCGGTGGGACAGCCGACTGTGGCCGGGAGGGCACCGACGGGTGCCCCGGGCTGCTGTCAGCGCGCAAGCGCAGGCATGGCCGTTCTTCGTTGTACAGCAAGTGCTTCCATTCTTGTGTCGCTTGAAGCTGAAAGGCAGAGAGGCCGTGGGGTTTTCCTCTGGTTTAGCCAAGTGCTGGAGGAGGTGTGAGGTCTCGTCTGGTGGCAGGACACGCGGCTATTTGTGCTCGCGCAAGATGCTGACGGTGGTACCTCAAGGCAGACCGCCGAGGACGGCTGTTCCTGAGGGCCCGACCGGCCGGCGAGACCTGGGCACCGGCACTGAGAGCACGCGGCCGGTCGCCTCCTGAGATGGCCACTGAAGTACCTGGTGGTGGTCGGCCGCAGCAGGGAGGGGAGGTGCCGCGGGGCACACACGGCAGTGCTGGACGCGGTGTCGCACAGTTCCTGTGGTCCCGGTGGGGGTCAGCCCTCCCTCGCTGGCTCTGGCTGCGCCGTCCGGCCCCTTCTCCCAGCGGGGAAAATGCGGGGGCACAAGGCAAAGGAGCTCTGCGATTTCAAGCCCATCGCATCGATGGTATCTCTCGATTCCAAGGGTCACACCAGTGAAAGGTGATGAGCTCTTATAAATCCGTCGGAGGCCTTTTGCTGAAGCCTTGAACGAGCGTCTCGTGCGGTGTGGCTCAGCAGTGGCCGGTTTGGGAGCGGATCCCGGTGCGTGGCCTTCCCTTGACTGACGGCGGCTGCGCACAGCGCGGCTGCACTGCCATCCCACAGAGGCGCCAGCGGGGTTCGGTGTGTTCGACTCGGCAGCCATTGCTGTGGTACCTCACCCAGCGGTCGGCAGCAGGGTTTGAACCCAGCGCACTTAATCTGTCTGTGCTGTATGGTAATTTGATTTGCTGTTTCTCTGGATCTGTTTATTGCCTGAGACGAAATACAGGCCGCTTCATCCTGGCCGATCAGAAACACTCGGTGTGTGGGGTCTGTCGATTAGCGCTGTAAGCTAAGCATTCTCCCTCGCTGTGCAGATGTCCGCCTCCCTGTTCCATCTCCAGCAGAGGCCAGAAGGGGAACTGAAGCCCACGTTCACGTTCCTCCCTCCCTGTTTCAGTGCACAGTCTGCAAAGCTGCTGCTCTCCTGTCTCCCGTCTGAGCAGGAGCGGCCATGCTGGATGATGAGCGGCAGCAGAGCTTGTGTCCAGGGTTGCTGTGTTTATCTTGCCCAGGTATCAAACGGTGTCTGGAATACCACAAGGATATGAAAACCCAGCTGCCCATTTACGTCTTCACGTGGTATAAACATTTGATGGGCTAAACTTCTTTGCATTTGGTTTCAGC